GTCTGCATACATTCAATTACTCATTACCTCCTCGTTGCTTCGTGGCCGGTCTTATATATACAAGACTACACTATATCTAGAAGGATCACGAGATTTAAGGAAAGGGCGTGAATGTTCGAGAACGACGTGGCGTGATACTAGTCACGTGACCTCGATATCGTAACAATACATTTATTCAGCATAGTCATGTTTTAGTGGTCAGGAAACGACAATGTAACAATATTGTGGTTCGCTTGGAGTAGTAGACGTTTATGAGTCTTTCTTTTTATATGATATGGATCCAAGTTATAAAAGTAAGATAAAAAACAAAAACAATTACCTTATTTTGGTCTGTCCAATAGAGGAAAAATCCCTTTTTGTCCACTTTTAGTGTCACTGGTGTGCCTACAGACGAATCCTGTTAAACAAAGAATAATGTACGATCCAATGAAATTCTGATATTAAAGTTACTTAAACAATATTGCAAAGCGTTTCCCAAAATGATTTATACAACTTCACAACACAATTTTTCAAAGCAAAGACTCCATTTCATTGTATGAAAGGCCTAAGCACTCATCATGACAAACTAAAGTGGAAAAAAACTATATGTTAATTTTCCGTAAAAATTCTTTCCGAAGAAACTTTAGCGATACAAGTCCTTTCTTAAATAAAACTAGTTTATTCTTTCCTAATACAACTTTGCAATACCCTTAATTTCCACAGTCACGCTATAACTTAAACAAACGCTATAATATAATAATTCACAACGATCGATTCACGCGCTTGACTCAATTGTCCGTCTCTATCTCGGTCTGCAATTCAATTCCGATTGTTGCCGTCACTTCTTGGCGGTCTTATATACAAGTATACCACACATCTAGTAAATACTCGAGGCTTCACGAACGGACATGAATTTTCTAGAAGCTCATGATGTGGTACTAGCGTCACGTGACTTCCGCTGTCGTAACAATATCTAACTTTCATGGATTTTTTTTTCCAATTTTGTACACTGATAAATCTTTACAACCTAAAATTTGGTGTCAAATTTGGTTTAACCATAAGCCACATCTGCAAAGTTATTCAACATAAATCGCTCAATTTTGACCAAAGTTTGCGCACGCCTACGCAAAACGTACGTGAGTTATCTGTCTGAAATATTTACTACAGCTTCACCTAAGACTAAAAGTGGACTTTTTGCACTTTTTCGTCATTCGGGTTTAAAGACCGCTAATTCAGAGCAGCAAAGGTGTATGATTAAAGCACGTACACATACATAAGTATTGGTTAAGCCAAGCAAACTAGATTAGCAGTTTGTAGCTCTAGTTTTCAAAATAATCATACAGGTGGACGGTTATTATTCATTGCCAACCTTTAAGCACAAATTTGTTAAACTATATAAAATTCTCCTAATTAAAGAGTGTATAGCGTCACATGATATTAGCTTAAGCAATTAACGTAAATAATGATGCTTGATACGGCTGTACGAAATGCATGCGGGTGATGACAAGAAACTGTTAATCTAGTTTCCATGGCGTTACAATAAAGGAAGTTTCTAACAGTGCTTTAGAGAGGAAAAACTACCCCCATATGTTTTAAAGAATCTGCTTGGTTCTTTAAAATATAGGTCTGTTCCGAATAATAGGATTGTGATCCTAAAGCTAATGTTGGTTACAACAGAGTGTCACTTTCTTACTTGCCGTGGCTTGTTGGTTGTA